AATCCCTACAAAGTTTCAACCCCTTACCTCGTCTGGTTTTCGAGATCGCTTCCTGCCAAAAAATTTGCATATTTTTTTGGGGCGTCCGTACGCGGCACCCAGTACGTCTGCAGGGGTTAATATTAAAATCGGGAGGGTCGTGCGCGGTATGGGCACATGCTCCCAAAGTTTTAGCTTTCTAGCTTTTCTGGTTCTCGAGTTAAAAGTGGATGACAAAAAGTGTGAACACACACACACACACACACATTCTTTTCCCAGTATGCGTTTTGCAATTCACATATATGCAAAAACGCATAAAAATGAAAATAATCATTAACTCCAAATCATTGGCAATTCTGTTCGCAACATCAAATGCTTTGAGATACTCAGCTATCAATGCCGATGTTGCCGTGGTGGAACCAACCATGATTTTTTGTGTTTTCAGAGAGATACATTTTTGGAACGCAGCGACGTTGGTGAAGGTACCTCACTTCACTCGATCTCCTCCGGAAGTTTGCTTGGCGACGAATTGCTCACATCACAGTTCAGTCTGTCTGTGCCAACAAATGAGGATTTCCATGTTTCGGAATTGGCCAAAGCAGAGCCCGCTGTATTCGAAACTGTCTGCGATATAATTTTCAAGCAGTACGACCTCCGGCCATCCGTAACCTCACATGTGGAAGCGGCAACCAGACAACTTTCAGTTCAGTCAATGCCGTGTAGAAAGATGGAACGCTCGCTGGCTGGAAACTGGTGTCCGGAAACAATTGTTAGTTGCCAATTCCATTTTTAAAGGATTCTGTGCGCCTCTGCTGTGCAGCGTTATAGCGTTGCTGCAGTAATCAACCCAAGTTGGAACGCACCGGGCGAGCCTGTGTTTTTGCACCGGACCTGATGTACTCAAGTCATTAAATTGCATGAATGGTTGTTACTTTACACCTACCTTTTGCGGTCACTGGCATAAATCACCATAAATTTTGTGTAAAGTAAATTTTTTGTAAAGTAATAATTTCCATTTAATGATCTTTCTTTAAAAGTAACCTGGCTGTTCAGTAAAGAATTTTTCCGCCAAAACTTTTAAGCGCCAGTACGCAAGAGCCACGCATAACCCAAGGCTGAATTTGAAATATTCGAGTTGTGCTTGGGCAGGGAAAATTTTCCCAAAATTTCAGCCTTCCAGCTTTTTTGGTTGCCGAGTTAACAATTTTTCGCGCAAAATCTTTCACGCGCTCGTAAATAAGAACCATGCATAGTTGAGGGCTGGATTTGCAATATTTAAGATGTACTTATGACGGAACATTCCCCCGAAATTTCAGCTTTGCAGCTTTCCTGGTTCCCGAGTTAGCAATTTTTTCGCCAAAACTTCCATGCGCCCTTAAGTGAGTACCACGCATACCTGCGGGCTGAATATGGAATTTTTAGTTAACAGATGTGCAGAGAATATCCCTACAAAGTATTGGAAAATCTTGCATTGCTGCTGGTAGGGTGTAGCGACAAGAGCTAAAGGAATAGGACAGCCGATTTTGCATATTTGATATTAGTGAAGAAGCCAAATTATACAACCTCATTTAAGCTAGCCGGTATTTGCATCGGGTAACGTCTGTGTTTCTTCCCTGAACAGCAAACACAGACGACTAAAATGGTGCGAAACGGGA